GTATGAGAGGTTGTAAAAGCGAGTCAATGTATCCTGACAAATACTCGGTAAGTGTACCGATAACCGATACAATCAGTCTACCGGGAGGGATGATTTTGTGTGTCCTGACTAGGTTGAACCATTTAACCTGTTCAGATGATGGAATACTTACATTAACAGTGGGGAAGAGTGAATTAAGTTTATCAGATAGAAGCTTGGGGAGTTTGTGAAGTTTCGGGATAGTGTAGAATGTGTTAGGGCGGGGTCTGAGGGGAATAAGGTCCTTAACTAAACCACGAGTTTTAGCAGATAACTCAGTACAAGTAGTACGGTACAAGTCAGTACAAGTCAGTGCATTACAGTGAAGTTCAGTGGGATCAACATCAAGAAGTAGCTTATAAAATTGTTCGAAAGTTGAGTTTCGGCTTCTGCTACGTAATCGGAAATGTTCATTATCTGTCTCTTATACACATCTAGATGTGTATAAGAGACAGGGTCCTGGCGCCACCCCTGGGCAGAAACGTAAAACAGATATTGTCTGGAATGAAACCTAACAACTACTCGGTGACGGCGAGCGCACAGCTAGCCACGGTTTTCTTCTACAAATCAAAATGATGTTGTTCGTGGGACCTTAGCAACAAAATCCAAGGGGCGGGGCTTAGCGGAAGGTCTGTTGGGTTTTCAGACGTGAAGATTAAAAGGTTAAATCAAAAACGAGTAACTCTTGCAGTTACCGTGTTATGTCGTTGATCTCGAAAAGTACTCCCATACTCTAGAGGACGTCCTTTAAAAATTAGATGACGGTAAAAGGCGTTCGTGTCCCTATTCGCTATAACGCATGTTCGAGTTTCGAACGCAATTTTGTAAAAGTCCCTAACGCTATTCGATTTTCAATAGAGCGCCCCTATCGTGGTAGCAGTATCCATCATTCCTCCATCTGATTTACCCTTTCCGCCATCTTTAATTGACAATGTGTTTACGCTCCCGTTGTGTGTGTGTGGGGGGGGGGGGGAAGTAGACACAACTTCCTTTAAAATGTTGATGTGTTTCCTTGTTTTCTGTGTGTGTATGCTTTGTGTGTTTGGTATTCAAACTGACAAGACATCGCTTCTTTTGATGCCTATGTAAACAATTTGTAATATGAAATTTGTTGTGGATTTTTTCTGAATAAATGTCAAATGTAATAGGAAAAGATTAAGTTGCAAAATATAACAGTACAGTAGATAGCGTTGAAGCTTCAATGTTTACCGGTTTCCGGAATTCATAGGCACGACGGGCGGACTTGTGTAAAATATAGACCACACGCAGGTAAGCATAATGCAGTATAATACTGTATGCATACATGTGTTATCAGTATATTCCGTATCCATAGCAATTTCATTTTATCCTCATACAGTAGACACATTCGGGACCAAAAAAAGTGTCCCCTTAAGTGGTGATAGGGGTTTTTGTCATGTTTTCATATAACGATGACATATACAATTCTTTATAATTTTATTTTTATTGACATAATTCATAGTTATAGCATTGCTTCTCTCTGCCCAGGATTATAAATGGGTACCAGTAGCTGCTGCAACTTTATGGGATACTCCCCCCACCCCAGGGAGCTTGAGTTTGTGTTGTTTAATTCAATGACCGGGGTAGTAATGTAAAGCGCTTAGAGGCCGTGTTGGCGTTAAGCACTATATAAATCTAACATTATTATTATTATTATTATTATTATTATTATTATTATTATTATTATTATTATTGTTATAGCAATAATTTTCAAGGCAAATACAATTCAAAATCAGCAGAAATATAATTAAAACAACAGTAGTTTTATATGTTCCTAATGCTGTTTCATGATGCAATGTTAATGAATGAATTATAATTCTATAAAAAGTACACGAAAAACGAAGAAAAAGAAATCCAAATTGTTGAGGGTCAAAATTGACAAGATTGGTTTATACGAAGTAACACATGCAGTTGTATGCCTTACCGATATTCACTCTAAGGATTTGGGGAGAAAATTCTGGTTTATTGCTCAAACTTCAAAATTCAGTTTTCAATTTAAATTTATTCAGAAAACCTCCGGAACAGAGAAGTAACAGAATACAGAATACAGAAACTTTATTAGTCCAAAAAAAGACTTGATTATTTTACTTGGTTCAAAATTCTTTTTGCAATTTCAGTTAAAATATTATTATTATTATTATTATTATTATTATCATTCTAACAAAAGCTCGCCCTTGACAAACAGCTTGGCCCCCTGGACCCCCACCGGGGGCCCTAGGCGGCCCCCTGGACCCCAACCAAGTGAGACTCAATTCGTTTCACTAGCCCCCCCCCCCTCTTCGGGGCGTTTAGCCCCTCCGTCGGGCAGGTCCTGGCGCCACCACTGACTCCCCCTGGACGGGACACTAGTCTGTCGCAGGTTAGTCCCCAGCAGTTTGCTGGTACCCATTGATACAGCTGGGTGGACTGAAGCAAAGTAGCTAAAGTGCCTTGCCCAAGGACACAAGCGAATCCGCACAGCGAAACCCCGACCTTACAATTGAAAGTCCGAACCGCAACCGCTGCGCCAAACTGCCGCTACTATGTTTGCTTATAGTATACAGTGTTTATTTACTCATTTAACATTATTATTTTTAGGCGCACTTTGGAACCAACGAACACTTTCAGTTAAAAAATGAATTTAGCCCAGATCTGATTTAGCCTCTTCGAATAATGAGCATGTATGTCGTACTGACCGTAATGATTATTGCTACAGGTTAGTGTATTCCACTCTCGTGTTCTGTGGGGAACTAACTGATCCTTTTCTGTTGTCTTCTATTGCCAAATGTTGTCCACAATCGGCCTACTATGGCAACAGATGCAGTCGTATTTAGAAGTCTTAAAATGGGGTGCGATGATCAGTTGAAGGTCGCTAATAAGGTGATTTTAGGTGATTTTTAACTACTTGACAGTAATTGGGGGGGGGGGGGGACTGGGGTACATGAGTAATTTTTAGAGGGGCTTGCGCCCCCTACCCACGTACGTTCTAGATACAGGACTGAACAGATGGTGTCTGAGCTAGGCTGAGAATGCAGCTTCCCGAAACACCCACCCCACCCAAATCTTGAGTGAATCTGTTACAGTATTTCTTTTGCGACCACTATCCACTGCAGTAGTGCTGGCGCTACCGTACAGGAAGAAGGAATCAAAATTACCGTGAACCTTTTAGCTACTACCAGAAAAGAAACACCACACACATCATTGCATCGTTTACAGGCAATTTGTGAAATTGTGGCACAGGGGCCGGTTTATACATAACTCACTCACATGTGCAAAAGTAATGGGGGTATCTAACTAAAACAAATTAAGCCAGCAAGCCAGACAAACAAACAAACAAACAAACAAACATGAGAACTACAGTAAGAAAAAGCAGCCGATGTGTCTTGCGAGCTCTTTTAATCAAAGCAGTAGACTAACACGAGCAAATCATGATTGATCCAATTCTAACAAGGGTTAAAATATAATTTCATTTTTTTCCTTTATGGCATCAGTCATGTTAAGATTTATCTTCTTTATTTCACATTCTTTGAAGCCAGGAGAGCATGGTAGGCCTATGGAAAGTTTGATACTAGGCCTACTGCATATGATTCCATCCGTCCCACTTTCGGCGGAGATTGTCCCGCTTTTGGGAGTCGTGTGTCCCGCTGTCCCGCCGAACCCCCACCCCCGAATTGTCCCGCTTCTCAACTTTTTTTTATAAATAAAAAATAATCAAGATAATACCCAAGATTAAACTCCCATTTCGGCTCGGTGTGTGGAGCATGTGCGACCACGAATAATAGAACAAGGTAGCTAAGCATGAGTAGGCTGTACCGTTGTTAAACACGAATCTTACAGTAGGCCCTGCTTTTACTGCAACATCATCTGTTTATTAGCAATTATTTTTATTAGTATTGTATTGTATTACTATTACAGTTTGAAATTTAAAATTTAGATTTATGAAATAAGTAGGCCTAGTCAAGTAGATTAGTTGGTTATGTTTCTTGTTTTTTGTTTCCATTTACATTATGCTTTGATCATGTTTATAATAATACATAGGCCTATATAAATAAATGAAAATATACTGAATGATGAAAAATTAAAGGAAATATAGGGCCTAGTATTATTTTCAAATTTCTTCTTTATATTTTTCTTATTCTTATCTATTTTAATCGCCGTTTCAGGCTTCTTTTATATTCACAGGGCCGACAAAATCACTTGCTAAGCCTATTTCTAGTTGCAGAACCTAACTAAAGAAATTAATATAGGCCTATAAGTAAAGTATAATTGAAGAAACGTTCCCACAAATATGTTCCCACAGTACTCTTGAGTTTAAGCAGACACATATGGTTTGTATTTTCTTGTTTGTTTTATTTCCATTGTGACACATTATAACCTGGTTCTTAATAGGCGGCCCGCGGGCCAGATTTGGCCCGCAAGCCAATTTAATTTGGCCCGTGAGGAAAATCCAAATAATAAAATATGATAAAAGTTCGATGAATATATTTTCAATCAAGTAAAGACTAAAACGTAAACAATGGGTAATGTGCATGGAGTGGTTTGAAAATGAGCAAGATGATATTATAGGCCATAAATAGAATAAATAGCAGGGGCGGATTTAGGGGGGGCGGCCCGGCCCCGGCCCCCCTTTTGGGAGGTAAAAAAAGAAAAAAAAAGGGGAAAAAAAGAGAAAAAGAAAAAAATGATGGCCAAGAATGCCTCAAATGTTATGTTCGGGCGTCTAGAACACAAAAATTTCGCGGGGGCATGCCCCCAGACCCCCTACGACAGTGTTGTCTCAATCGGCCCAACTTTCCGCCCCTGAATAGTGCCACAAATCGATTACTGGGTATTTTCTGTGGTCCTATTCTTCACTGTGTGCTTAAAACAAGCCGAAGATCTAAAATAAAACCCTGTAAACAGAACTATATATACATAAAAAAAATCCCAAGATTGCTACCGTATTAATTCTGCTAAATTTAACGTAGTAGCCCAAAGGAAGTAAAAACATAGACATGTTAAATTTTAAGGATTGCAGAGTTCTGATGCCTGATTCATGACCCATTGTAGAAGAAGCCCATTGTTATAAATTGTAGAGGTAAAACGTCTATTGGGTTTTATCGTCTAAGTCTAATTATAAGTCTACTAATATTTTACATGATAAATTATATTTGGGAATCACATTTTCCTATTTTTGCTTCTGCATCATGTGTCAGTATTTAACTTGAAATGCTTTTGTGTACAGTAGATACAGCAAATTGTGTTTATCTACTTTTTCTTGTGCTCTTGATCGCCTTGTTCTGTTGTTGTTCTATGGATTTGTAATTCTGAAATAAAAGATGAATGAATGAATGAATAAATAGACAGCTAGTGAACCAAACAACAGTGTTTATAATAATACATTTCGATTTCCTGCAAATAATACAGTTCTAACTCTGTGTTTTGTTCTGACTATTCGTCAATAGCCTTCTTTTCAAGTCATGCTTGGCTACGGCTGCGGTCAATATTATTACTTCACACGGGTAATAAAAAGTTGGTGTATCAACAGAGAGTGCTCATTAAAATATATTCCCTATATGATGCGGAAAACTGATATTTTGACTGACGACTGACTAATGACTAATGACACGTCCACACAGAAATTCCCCCCGACCCAATTTTAGGTTCTGACCGCTAGTGTAGGCCTGTATAATTTAAAAAGTAGGCCCTATAATTTCAAATTACGAAAAAAATATAGACCTATCTTACAGGAAAGAGTTTTACCCAGTACAATTGCTTTCAACTCAGCTTTTAACTCAGAGATTATCTTTGGCCCGTTCAGAAATCAACTCAAAAAATAATTTGGCCCTTCGAACCAATTAATTAATTATAAATATAGCGACCGAAAAGAATGCGCGACCACCGAAATGAACGCAATATACCTCTGGCGCATTCTAAGGCCTCACTCAGTGTGTAGGCTAAGGAGGGTACACGCCTAAGTTGTCTTAAAGTACGTTGTGTCCCGCTTTTGAACAAAGATGGCCGGAAATGGCACTTTCAGACTTAATTTTGAAAAATGTAGGTGTACACTGGG